CTTTCAACCACCAGCCGCTCATCAACCAGGAGGTGCCCCCAGTAATCCAGCCCTTGCGTCGGCTGCCCCTCGCCCTACGAGATGATGTCACGTCCGAGCTGCAGAAACTGTTAGACGCTGGCATCATTGAGCAGGTCGACGCCTCGCCCTGGGTCTCTAACCTGGTGGTGGCCAGGAAGAAATCAGGCGGCCTGCGCCCCTGCATCGACCTCAGGCAGGTAAATAAGGCAGTGATCCCTGACAAATTCCCACTGCCTACGGTGGAGGAGCTGTCTGCCAAGTTCTACGGCTCAACGGTCTTCTCCAAGCTTGACCTTCGCCAGGGCTACCTACAGGTCCCCTTACACCCGGACAGTCGCAACCTCACTGCCTTCGTAACCCACATGGGGGTCTTCCGTTACACCCGCATGCCCTTCGGCCTCAGCTCCGCCCCTAGCTGTTTCCAAAAGATCATGGCCACCATCTTCGCAGCCATCCCAGGGGTGGTCGTGTACCTCGATGACATTGTGGTGCACGGAGAGACGTCAGCCTCACACGACGAGCGCCTTTCCAGGGTGCTGGACATCCTCAGCAGCCACAACCTGACAGTGAACGAGGAGAAGTGCATTTTTGCTGCATCTGCCATCGAGTTTGTGGGGTTCCGCCTGACAAGTGACGGCCTGAGCCCGCTCCACTCAAACGTCGATGCCGTCCTGCGTCTGCCCGAGCCTTCCTGCCCTGCGCAGCTGTCATCATTTCTCGGGATGACGGCCTACTATCTACGCTTCCTTCCTCACTACTCAGAGACCACTGCACCGCTGCGTGCTCTCCTCAAGAAGGACGCACCCTGGTCTTGGACCCCTGCATGCTCTGCCGCTGTCCGCCAGCTCAAATCCCAACTCACTTCCCCGCCTGTTCTCGCCCACTTTGACCTGATGAGCCCTACGTTTGTGACTTGTGACGCATCCAACACTGCTGTCGGCGCCGTCCTGTCCCAACTCCAGCAAGGGACAGAGCGCCCAGTGGCATTTGCCTCGAGGTCTCTCACTCCAGCTGAGCGCAAGTACTCGGTGGGGGAACGGGAAGCACTGGCCTGTGTCTGGGCATGTGAAAGATGGCACATGTACCTGTACGGGCGGCACTTTACCCTGCGGACAGATCATCAGGCCCTCACTGCCCTGCTGGCCACAACTGGGTCTGGGCATAAGCCGCTGCGCCTCTATCGCTGGTCCGAGAGGCTGCAGGCGTACAACTTCACCACACAGTTTACGCCCGGCACGGAGAACGTCGTGGCAGACTTGCTCTCCAGAGCCACACCTGATCCTGCGCCAGACACCGTCCAGGACCCCTCAGAACCAGAGCTGATTCTCATGTTGCACACGCCCCTCCAGGCAGCGATTTCTCTGCAGGAACTCCAAGAGGCATCCGCACAGGACCCCGTGCTTGCCCAGCTCTGCACTTACATCCAAGAGGGCTGGCCTGCTAGAGTCCCGGAGGAACTGGCGCCCTTCCACCGAGTTAAGGGCGAGCTCTCTTGCTGGAACAACGTCTGTGTGGCACGGGGATTGTGCACAGTGGTCCCCAGCACTCTAAGGGCACGTGTCCTGGCCATGGTGCATGAGGGCCACCTCGGCGTGGTGAAGACTAAGCAACGCTGCAGGAGCTCCGTCTGGTGGCCGGGCGTCGACAGAGACGTGGAGGTGATGGTGAAGGACTGCACTGCTTGCCTCACCAGCGGTAAAACCGGCCTGCCCCCTCCTCCGCCCCTACAACCCCTGCCGTGGCCACCGGCACCGTGGACCCACATTCAAGTGGATATCTGCGGCGAACTCCACAGCGTCCCTCAGCACCAACGTTTCCTGCTGGTCGCCTATGACCTCCATTCAAAATGGCCAGAGGTGTTTCCCGCCGGCTCCGTCACCACCAAGGTGGTCACTGACTTCCTCTCGTCTCTGTTTGCTCGCTGGGGCGTTCCTGACACCATCACCACCGACAATGGGCCCCAGTTCATCTCGGCCGACTTCGCTTCCTTNNCATCCCCAAGCTAACGGTGGCGTGGAGAGGTTCAACCAGACACTCAAGAATGGGCTCAGAGCACACCTGGCAGATGGCCTCCCTTTCTCATCGGCACTGCAGAGCACTTTACTCCACTACAGAGCAACACCGCACACCACAACAGGCAGTTCTCCAGCTCTCCTGATGCTAGGACGCGAGCTGCACCTTCCCCTGGATCGTCTGCGCCCTCCAACAAGAAACTCCTCAGCAGTGACACCGTCTCTGGGGAACAGAGTGGCAGAAAAGCAACGGCGCATGAAGCAGCGGTTCGACAGAGGGCGTCGAGCGAGAGCCCCTGCACTCATGGTGGGGGACTGGGTCCGGATCCGTCGACCCAATCGGTCCCACACAACAAAACTGCTCTCATTCTGGATGTGCTGCGCCACGGCAGAGAGTACAGCAGGTCAAGGCTTAGGTGGTTCTGTGTGTCGTACTTCCTGCGCTAGTGGGCGTTGCACTGTTGCTACGTCCAGTCCGCCTTAGAGGATTGTGTGTGCCGCGCGCTCCTACCATCTGATGTCTTGATATATGGGTCAGGCGGCTGCAGTCGGGGGTGCGCCATGCGATGGATAGAGTGGACTGGTGGTTGAGAGGGGTCTGGGTGGTGTGGTGCCCGGTTTTTGGTGTTCGGTGCTGGAAACCATCTTTGAGCGCCTGATAGTTGGGGTGTTACAGTGTATGTGTGCGCTTGTCCAGTTACCTCTCCTGCAGCCACCTCGTCCCACTTGGATGGCCACAGAGAGTCATTTTACCTCAAGGACTTATGTGACTATTTAGTTAGAGCAGTGGCTGGTGCTCCGCACGGTCAGAAGGTAACCCATTAGTAGTTTTATGCAGGCAAGCCGGTAGTCCGCCCGCTGGTGTTAGCTAGGGATCGCGATGGTTGGGGTTGGTTGATAATTCATTTGCGACTGGTTCAGGATTCTGAGTAACATAGGGGGGTGTAAAAAGTGAGGCATACGGCTGCCATGCCAGTTTGTAGAGAGTCAACTTGGTAGACAGCGTGACGTGGGTAGAGGTGGGTGGTACGCGGGGTCGCCGTAAAGAATGATGTAGAACTTATGTTCAGGTGTAGAGTAAGTGTCTGGGTTGGAGAATGATAAGTTTTAAAGTCAGTGTTGAACTTCTACGGTCGTGGTTGTGGGTGGGCCGCTGTCGTTCTTCTAGAATTGTGACCACCGGTGTTAAGGCCCTCTTTCAGCACAAGCTCCGAAAATGGGGGTGGGTGGTGGGGTTTTGTCAGGGGGGGGGGGGTTTTTGTTGGTGGAGGGCTGTGGTTTTTTTTGTGAGTTTGAGGTAACACAAAGCAGAGAGAAAGTGTCTGAGTTTGGGTTTTTGATCTTTTGGCCTCCGAAATTGTTCCCAGATTCTCAATCCAACTCGAATAAATCTGTGGGAA